AGAGAGAGAGAGAGAGAGAGAGAGAGAGAGAGAGAGAGAGAGAGAGACTTTCATAGTTGTTACCTCATGACAGGGGAAGAGGGAAGGAAAAGTGAAGGAATAAAAGACACAGAGACACAAAGAGGATAGATCGGGAAGAAGAGAGAGAGAAGTCCTCTAAAGCGCTCAGGGCTAATAGAGAGAGAAGTGAACGATGTGAAGAAATTAAAAATTAGCCTCTGATTTGAACCGCAGCTCGTGCATTAATAAAACATCCTGTGCTCCAGGGCTTACTGCTAGAGATACGCCATCTTTTATTTTTGACAAAAAAAAAAAAAAACATCACGTTTAGCTAATAGTCACATTTTTAATGCTGGTAATATATTTTACCGGAAAATATCTTTAGGCTTCTGCTAAAATTAAATGTAAATTTGTTAAAGTGCTTCTTGGATCACTGACTTTCCCCCTCACGTCCCCACCAGCGTTCAACCTTTCCTCCACACTCATTGCCCCTCTTAGAGGTAGGGGGAACTAGGCTGTTAAAGTCCATTAAGAGCGTTGCCACTTTAGTATTATATCACACAAAGACAGACACACACAAACACACACAACTCTGTCAACTGTTTTTACACTATACCTGTAACATTTTATACTATGCCTTACAGGAAACAGTCCTAGCCACTGTATGAATATATAAATATATAGCTTAAACTGCTATTGGCTATCGACTAAAGAGTACTTAGAATGAGCATTTACAGAAGTCGTAGAGAAAATAGTAACATTCCCATCTTTCAAATCTCACCATCTTCTTAAGTGGTATATATATTTTTTTTAAATAATACAAAGAGCAGAACAAGATCACAGTAATTAAATAACTGTAAAAAAGAGAATTTAAGGAGCACGAGATGTGATGTCATTTTGCCACTTTTGGTTTGGTCTTACTGTGTCATTATCAGCTGTGTGACATCCCCAGTCTCCACACACACACACACACACACACACACACACACACACAGCCCCTCCCCCACAGTGGTTTGGGGTGTTAAGGTCACTTTCTCTCAAGTTAATCACATGTTTATTTAGTGCTGCCGGGGTCACGATCAATTAACGCCGTGCCGGCATTTAAAATATCCTTTCTGTGTTAGCCGCTGAGCCCTCGGATCGCAAGCTGCCTGATCACTCACCTCGCAAAAGTCCGCTTTTTAATCCACCGGCATGCTCCCTCCCTCTTGTAGGTCTGTCTGTCCAAACTGCTGCATAAATTATTCAAAGTTGGACTAATGGTCCCCATTTAGTGCGGGCTGATCGGCTGCGCATGGTAATGATATAGGAGTAATACATAGACTACCGAACCTCTCTCTCTCTTCTCTCTGACTCTGTTTCAGTCCCTCTTTCTCTCTCATGACAGATCTCCACCGCACGAAACCATCTGTGTCATTTCATTAGGTACAGCATCCAGCTAATAAATGCTACTCACAATACCCTCTCCTATCCCCTGTCCTCACTCCACCTCCGTCCCTCAATCTCTGCCTCTCAGTCTATTTTGCTCTTTATCTTTCTCTCCCTCTCTTCCACCGGTTCACTGTGCTTCAGTGTCCATCCTCATTCATCCTTCCTTTCCTTCTGCATAGCCTAATGAAGTCAGGACCCCGGTGTAGTCCCCACTCCGCCATAGTTTGCCTTGATACCCCAACAATTTATCACTTTGTCAGGGAGACACTTAAAGTTCCGGCGCTTTAATAAGGGCATGCAGTGGGACGATTGGGGCAATTAGGGAAGCGGAGCAGGCACGCTTTGCATATTTACTAAATGTGCTGGTGTCATCGCTGCTGCCACCACCAACACGGCCTGTTGACTGCATGAATTATTCCTCTATCTGCAATAAACAGCTGGGTAATTATTACTGCCATAATCAGATAAATAATTATCCCTGTGATGTTGCAATGACATGGCTAAATCCTTTAACTTATCCTAAAGAGACCAAGGGAGAATTTATGGACTTGCTGTTGCTAGGCTGAGCAGCACTAGTTTTTTTTTTTTTGCGAGGCTGTCTCTCTTCCTCTCTGTACTTTTTTTCCTTCTCTCTTTACTTTAGCCTTCTTCGTTCCTCTCTCTCTTGTGTCCCTCTCAAGGACATTCATGAAAGGAGAACCGCTGTGGAGGAGAGAGTGCGGGCCTGCCGGCACGCCTGCCCTGCGAACACTCTCTTCTTCTGTGCGTCAGTCTTTCTTTTGCTGCTCTTTCTGTCTGATCCAGTTTCGGTGGAAACAAGTTCCCTCCTTCAGTCTGATTGGATTTGTATATTGTGTGTGTGTGTGTGTGTCTGTCTGTGTGTGTGTTGAAGTATAATCTGGGTGCTCTGCTCTCCCTGCCCTTTTAGAAAATTACTTTGGAGAGTAAGACAATGCAGAAAAGTATGTACATTTTATGGAATTGTAAATTGTTGTTGAATAATTTGAATATTGATTGGAGATAATTTCAATGCTGACTTAACTGTTTGCTACCATCAGTTTTACTACTTTAGTAAATTAGTTAATCAATCACTTCAATGATTCGCTGTGTTATGAGGGTGTTGAAGGCTCAATACATTGGTCACTGTCTAAATTGACTGGCTGACTACCCCCTCCTTGCCAGCTATTGAATCATTTAATTGGAGCAATTAAACAGCCAATCAGGTCAAGCCTCCATTAAATATTTAGAAACTGGCCAATTAGCTGCTCTGGTGCTGGCCTGGACGACCAAAGGTGTGGCCTGCTTTCCCAAAATGCTTCACTCTCTGATATCCACTCAGCCCTTGACGCCCCATTGTGAACCAGGCAGTAAATTATTGAGGAAGAAGTGAGAAATTTAGCTGTACTATATTAGCCATTTAAATAAGTTAACAGTCCAGGGTGAAAATGTCAGTTTGAGTTTCAATTATTTGAAAGTAGTTTAAGAATGCTTGATTACCTTGTCCAATAGTTCAGCAGCCATCAAAAGTAATCTGGAGTCAGTGCTCGTACTACATTGTATGGCATGCTAGGCACATTATAACCATCCAATAATCATTATAATGGAGTATATGCAATTATATAATAATGCCATAATGTGCAAAATAACTTAAACTTTAATCTCTATATCAAATGACTATTTAATAGCACAATGACATTGTATTAGTATAATGTAATATACTGACATGATAGTTTAATTAGATCACATTTATGGTAATACTTCTATCTCTCATTAACTTAAAATATCTTTTCCATGATGGGTCTACAAGTTTATCTTAAAACAATTATCAGTGGGTACAACATTTACACATTTCTTAACATATTTGTACCTTCTCACTCAAGGGAGATACAATAATAACTATCAACATTTAAATCAATATAGTCTGAACATGTCTGTATTCCCAGTAAATAATTGATGGTAAGTAAAATATTGAATGAGAAGTGTTAAGCACTTACAGTATGTAATCTGAGTAGATACCAAAATACAAAAAGTATGATTTTCTATACCTAATATAAAAACATTTTTATATACAAAAGTTGAGTTCTATTGACCAAGTTGATTGCTACCATCAGCGTAGGTTGATAAACCAGATATAACAGCAATACATATAACATAAGTACAAGCCAGTGGTTTACCACACTGTTTCTTCTTTTATCCCTCATTCTTTCACTCAGTCAAATACACACACATACAGTCTCTCTCTCTCACCCACACATACTCAGTGCACGTGCTGCGTGCCGAACAAGGCTAATGAGGGTTGTATGTTGTGGCGGCTGGTTGGGTCGACACAGATCGAGGTGCCTTCAGCCGTTACAAATCTGTTTGGCTTTTGTCCACTACACAGCAATTAATAACACTGGGGCTGGGGGCAGGGAAGCAAAGGTCACCCATTCAGCCGGACACACACATACACACAGACAAACACACACACACACACACACACACAGATACAGTCACACTTAAACACTCAGCTCAGACACACACATACATACGAGAACAGGTCCTGACCCCTGAAAACATTGCCTGTCTGTTTTTAAGGCGGTATTAATGAACGAAGGACCAGGAATACACACACATACCATAAACATACACATACACCAATTGGTTTGTGAGCCAGACCGTCCCACACTAAACCATAACTTTATATTTTACATTAATATGTAATATCCCTGTTAGCCGGGTGGACAAATCGAGGCCAAGCAACCTCTATATTTACTATACACACAAAAGCACATATAGACATACAGCCACACATCTATACACACGGTCTTAAATTACTGTGCTTAATATTGCATGGACACGCACAGACACATTTAGACTTGCTCTTATTCCCGCCACACACACACACACACACACACACACACACACACACACAGTGCTCTGCATATTTCATTTATTTTGTAATTTAATCCGGTGCTGAGGAAGGAATGAGAATGCAAAGGCAATGGGAACGGTGTTGTGATTTCTTTTTAAATGTCAGTAGCCGCGGAATGTGTTAACCTCACATTACAGACACACTATGAATATTCTGATTCCTCTGTGGAGGCTTGTAATTGAAAATAGAAGTTGGGCAGAGAAAGAAACTGTCGAGAAGAAGGGGAGAGGGAAAAAAAAGGAAAGATAAGAAAAGAGAGAAGGATACTCTCATTGGTATTGCTCTCGTGGAATTCGTTTTACTCTTAGCGGTGTGTCCGAGTGTGTATTTTGTACATTGCCATGGCATGTGTGCTTTAGTAATTGTTTCCAATTCCCGTTTTAAGTTATTACCCCCTTGTAACAATAAGGCTGTGTGATTGCGAAATGAAATTGCTGTGTATGGGCTTTTAATGCATCCCATTTAGCCAGCTTCGCTTAACAGATGTCACAGACAGACCTGTCCTGGCTGCGGTGATGAAATATATCCATCATCCTCCCACTTATAGCCTCTTGCTGTTTTCCTTCCAAGCTCATGTCTCATTCTCCTCTTTTTCTCTCATAGCTCCTCTGTCTTTCCATGTCTGTCCCAGTGTGTCTCTCTCTCTCTCTCTCTCTCTCTCTTATCATCAGGCAGTTGTTTATCCATCTGAAGGACACTACGGGGAATTGTCCGCTTTATGACACAAGACTGTGTTCCAAATACACACGAACATTTGCACAAATATACTTGCATGGCATCTAAAGTCTTTTTTAATTTTTATAGTGTAAAGAAGTTAGGTCAGCTGAATCTCCAGATAAAGTGTAACGTAAAAGGAAAAGTTGAAAAGATGTCAGTGTAAAATGATGAGTAAATGTATTTATACTTCTTTTTTATGTATTGTGCAATGCATATTTATTGTATTCATGTTTGACTGTGCGCCCACGTCAAACACCACATCATTTAAATTAGTTAACTGGACGTTTAGAATTTGAATTGCAACATTATTTGGGAATGGTGTGTGTGCCCTGTAGGATGGAGCTGGATGAACTTGAGGAACTCCAGAAGAGAGAGAGAGACTGTCTGGAGATGGTGAAAGAGCAGACAGCCAAGGTCTACCAAGCTCACCGGTTACACCACCTCCTCAGTACGAAGCAGGTTGGTCGACAGGACCACAAACACGATCTCACAGTACGATGTGCGATGTGTGTACAATGCCGATCTTAAAGTGTGATTCCTTCTTGACTGCAGCTACAATTGAATTGAAAGAGAGACTCAAATAGCAGTGAATTAGTAATTCTTCACTAATCGTTTCAATAATAGTAGTAATCATATGATAAGTCAAGTTAATATAATTGTTATAGTAGTCTAGTTAGAAACCCACAGTGACCTTAGCTAAGGTTCAAGGCATGGATGTGAAGCAACATCAAAAAATGAACATTAACATTAATCCATTTACCCCTCTACCACAGGCAAAAGTGTCGTTATCTGGTGTCATTGTGTCTGTCGAAGAGAATACAAGTTACAGACAACCGACTGCCTCGAAACTTTGTACTAAGAAGTACACACGCATACCCATACACAAAAATGCACATGCACAGCTAAGGATGCAGAGACTCACAAGACAATGGGATAAGTGTTACAGACAGGGGGCTCTTCCAGAAAGAGGCTGTAGGGAAAGAAAAGGAAGAGTCTTCTGTCTTTCCTTCCTTTTTGTAACACAGGTGGTATGTGTGCAGTCGAGGTGTGTATGTGTGTGAGTAAGTATGTGTCTTCATGGCTCTTCTGATGTGCTGAGTGGAGTATTTTAGTGCTTCCCCTGGCACAGGTGTGCATGTGTGTGTGGCATCCACGCATCTCTGTGACTCCCCACTGGGATCATAATGAAGACAAAGCACACTGGTCACTGTTGATTCAGCACCACTACTCCTATCTCTCTCTCTCTCTCGCTCTCGCTCTCTCTCTCTCTCTCTCTCGCTCTCGCTCTCGCTCTCTTTCTCTCCTTCATGCCTGTGCAACCAGCATCGTCATCATCTGGCTTACTACCTACTTCCTGCAGGTATCCCATGTTCACCTACGGCTCTAACATGGACACAACTTCCAACCATTTGTGTTATGAAGTTGGTGTACGCTGGAGTGGAGTTTTCTTTTTGGCAGATCATGTTTGACTCTCCAAACGCTTTGGACTGATTGTATACCCATGTGTTTATTGTTTTCATAATTTATATATAACAAAAACATGTATTTTATGAATAACCAATAAGGAAAGAAAGCAAGAAGTAAAGTTTGCGTGCTCTTCCCCGCCCTCTGTCCATTTCTCTCTCTCTCTCTCTTTCTCTGCATATGGCGGGGGACTCTTTCCCTTCGTAGCGCTGACCTTGTCAGCAGTGAATAGATGGCTCTCCTACACAGTTCATCCTTCCTCACTTCTCGGACCCCAGCCCACACACACACTCACACACATACTCACACACACAGCTTACCAAAAGGCCCCAAGTCCCCATGACAGAGACAGAGATGGTGTGTTCCTGGGGTCAACATCATTGCTCTTCCCGTAGCTAGGTTGGTACTTTTGGTGTGTGTGTGTGTGTGTGTCTGTGTGTGTGTGCGTGCGTGTATGTGTGTGTATCTTTAAGAGTGGCAAGAATTATGTTTGTGTATGTGTTTGTGTGTCTTCTGACTTCTGTCCCTTCCTGTTTTAGTTACGTGTGTACACTGAACCCTAATGAATGTCCTCCACTGATACTGAACACTAAAGAAATTTCATTAAATACACAGAAAATCCTGATAACGAGGGTTTTGACTTTCGCTTCTTCAGCTGTTGCTGAGTGGTCTATTGTATGAAAAACTTTGAGGGTCCGTTGTAGTCAGTCAACACACTCTGATATGCTTCATTTCAGTCAAATGTTTTCTTATTTGCCATTTTGTCGTTGTGACATTTTTAAAGGTCAGGACCTTTATTTGTAACTCTGAAAGAATATTTGAATGAAAAGGAACAAGTGCAGCAATACATGTGTAGAAGGAATACAGTACCAGCACGTGGAGTTGGTGCAAGCTTCAGTGGTTGTCTGGAGGCACGGAGTGGCAAGGCACAAATATACAGCGTCCTAGTCTTTCTAGGACAATATGCCATTTTAAATTAAAATGTATGATTGAGTAAACACTGAGAAGTTATTTTAGAAGATACAATAAGTTGTAGTAGACTGTACCTCACTGTTTTTGTTATTTTATATTTATAATAATAACTATCGTCTGTTGCCAATATACATTTTATTCATGTATTTCGATGCATGTGTGCCTCTGCTAACTAGAGTCATGAAACAAAAATAATGCATTAGCTTGACTTTTAGCTTTGCGCTGGCACAAAAACACTGCACCAAGACAGGGACCCATCAGGCAGAAATCTGCTGTGATCCAGTTGTGTCTTCAACCAATAGTTGGTAAGAAATACGGGTCAGTGGAGTTTAATTAATTTATCTCTCTTCATTCTGAAACACTTGACATTTACAATCAAAAGTACTCATGGTGTGATAATGAAACGTTTACTAATTAACCAGTCTGTTAATATGTTATTTTAAAAAGAGTGAGGTTTGGGTCGATATAGTAGTAGCCAATTCCCACTTATGCCCTTTCTCTCTCCTCTCTCTTCGTTGTCCCAGTCTTTTAGAGTGGCCTAAATAGCAAGCGGTGTTATTAGCATATAGAGTAGATACAGAGTCCTCCAACTCAAAGCTTTGGTCTGGTAATTAACACTCAGGCAAAAGGATCACTGTGATTTGAATAATTATTACTGAGGCCGTCTGTGGCAAATCTCTACCCACTTCAGAACAGGGGAGGCAAAGTTTTGTAAATGTGTACATGTGTGTATTTGTGCGTGTGTTGTTCTTGTGAACAACTAGATTCAAGTCTTGTATAATGCCACATTTGACACAGCTGCAGCGAGGCTGTCTCTGTAGTAATTTGTTGTTATCTATGTATCTGTGTCAAGAGCAGCACTGAACTGCTCTGGTGAAATATTTAACCTGGCAAAAGCATTTGGTTGGCCAAGAGCCTCCATGTTGTATGCGTTTGTGGCAGTGCGTATCAGCAACTGTTGTTAGCAGGGACACAGAATGATGAATTTCCTAAAGTTTAGGTTAATATGGATAATATGAAGGGCATTTAAAGGCGGAACTTTGATGAAAAACTACATGAAAAAGTTGTTAACAACACTGATGTTTCAGATTAACTCAGAATATTGCCCGTAATAGTTTAAATGACTAACAGTTGTTGGTTTCATTCTAAGCTGTCCCAGGAGGAGGCCGTTCTATTATTTGATGGTCCCCCTGATATACAAAATTACATCTAGATTTTCACAAACTCCAAATGGATTTGAATACATTACAGTGTTTGGGGAGTAAATCACCCAGGAGAACATCCTGGTGCCTGAAAGTATTATGCAACTAATAATAATACAACTGCAATGTCCTTGGTTTTAATCAGGGTGGGGACCCCCTGTTGCATGTCATCCCCCCCTTGCATGTCTTTATCTTGTCATTGATATTTTCAGTTACACTACACTAAGGTTTAAAAATATAGTAGGAGCAGTTAGAAAGAGTAATATGCTCAGCGACTAGTCAGTGACCAAATGTATGCACCTGATCACATCGCATTGCTCACATTGACAGTCTGTGTCTCTTCTCTCTCTCTCTCTCTCTCTCTCTTTCCTCAGTGCCCCGGGGTCTTCAACTCTCCATTTAGGCCAGCCCCCCATGAGATGGAACTACTGCTGAGGCAGGTCAAGTACCAGGCAGCTATCAGGCGGCCCCACAGGGGCGGGGCTTCTCCCTTGGGTATGCTTGGCCCAACAGCCCCAAGTTTCGCTGGGACTCTTCGATCCCCATGGATCGAAACCACTGGAACCTACTGTTCCTCCAGGCCTATTCTGCCCCCCATTGCCATCAAGAAACAGCAGGTGAGATGGTACAAGCTAGAACCCTGACATACATGAACAGGTGGAGGCAGAGAAACAGAGCTCAGCAATATGAGAACATAAGAGACTATACGGGGAAAGAATGAGGGGAAAAAAGCAATGGAGCATGCACAAGAGGTGAAAGAGAGTAATAATTGTACCATGTGTCAGACTAATTATTAAAGACCGCCAACATCCCCTTCTTGTCTCAATTAAGATGGCTCTTGATGAAAGCACAGATCCTTTAAAACTCCTTTTAAAGAAGAATGACATCATTAAAACATGGCAGACAGCTCTCTTGGGGGCTACTGCACAGAGCCGTTTAGTGTCTGTAATTCAGTGAGAACTATATTTCCGACTGTGTGGCTACATGTTACTATCAAAAGTGTGTGTACCACAGTGTGTGGGTGTGTATCCAAAGTGTGTCCCATGGGCAGCTCTCATTTGTGTCCAACCAGTAAGCTCTGTGCTGTGGCAGGCACACAAGGATTTATTTGTGAATGTACTTTAATGCCATTTTGTATCTTCTTGTTACCATATGAATGCTGCATCAACAACTTGAAAAGGAAACTCTCAAGAACACAGTCTTGATATGCCATGAGGTTATCAGGTTAATGTGGCTAAACGTCATGCCTTCTTACATATTTAGAAGACACTACAACATGGGTATGTTGTGGTTTTCTTCTTGAGAATCAATCCTCAATTTACCATAGTCCAGCTGTGCATTTGTGACTATGTTTTGTACATGTGTCTATGTACTTATGTGATTGTGTGTGCATGCACGTGTGTGTGTTTGTTGATTATTTGATGAGGAGCCATTTCACCATTTGTGTTATTTACGCTCTGTAGCTCTTTATGGCAAAGCGCTTTCCCTATTATTAGTTTCTAGTAATGTAAAACATAAGTGAGCAGAAATGAGGCGTGGATCGGTCTCGTTTTATTAGCTGCACTACACACACACACACACACACACACACACACACACACACACACAGACATGTCTCCAGCTGGCTGTAGTTTGGGTGAGTTCATTAATGATGTCAGGGAGGTGTCTTGGTGCTGACATTGAGAAGAATACATTATACATCTATATTTAGAGATGTCTGTCTTTCTCTGTCTCTGCCTTCCTGTTTTCCTCTGTTTTGAGTGTGTGTGATTAGTGCAGGAAGTCCCCCTTTCTTTATTTTGCACTCACCCCTACACCGCACACCCCCTCCCTCCCTGGCGTGATAACTATCTAGTGGTGATGGATAAGGTTGAGGTGCTGGCTGTGGAAGTGGTCAGGCCAGGCCACCGATCCCGTGGCGATAGGAGCAAGGACGGGGTCCCCGTCCCTCCCTCTATCTCTCCCCCGTCAGCCTCCCTCCTTTTTTTAACACCAAACAACAACTGAAGGTCACCTCAAACAAAGCAACAACATTTAAGTTAATCTGCACGGCACAAAGTTTAACATCACTATCACGAAAGAGCATATACACTCCCGCAAGTAACGCAGTAGATCATGTTTAGAGGTTGCACTTTGTTATTCTTCTTAACCAGACACATAAACGGTTTCCCATTTGTTTAGTATCTGTAACTGAAAATTGCCAGCATTTCACACTTAAATCACTAATGAATAGTGGAAACAGTCTTTTTCCACTCTATCATCTTAACTGGAATATATAAACACCATTAAGAGTTGGAATTGGAAAATTGCATTTCTGTAACACAGCAAGTGTGTTCAACGTCTTTAGTACAAGAGCATCATGAAGTCCCAAGGCGATGTAAGGGGGGACGTGAGGTTGGAAAGGGAACGATCCAAAAGCGTGTTACTAAAAACAACATTTCTTTGTCTTTGCAATTTTCAGTAGACATCAGAAACCCATCGCTCCAGGGTAGGAGCCACAATGTCAAGAAGATGCACAAGGAATAAAATTGACGGACAGCTGTTTAAAGTTTAACTGACTTCTTGTAAGATTTGGTCCCAAAGATTTGCATGGAAGTTAGGAGAGAGAAAACAGGATCTGCTATATTTAATGCACCTGCATTCCAAGCAGTTTAAGATGAAATTAAAGATAATAATTGCATTCTTTTATCTTTTTCATTTATTATGGAGAAATCCCCAGAAAGGACCAAAACCAACAGTGCATGCTTTAAACTGTTTAAGGCGTTGTCTGTGGAATCACAGTCTGATGTATCTTGTGCCTCTGTTATGTACTTCAACCTTGCCAAAAATGGTTAAAAACACACAAAAATATATAGTGTTGTAGCGAGTGACGTATTTCTACATTGCTATCATATGTTGATTTGAAAACATTTTTTTTTTACTTCACAAATAATTTAATTTTTCCCCTTTTCATTTTATGCTCTTACAGCTTTTTATTTGGCCAATGGAATTGGTTTCACACATTGATCACAAAGTTAGATGTCAGTCACAATGAATTTGCCTTTACTTTTATATTATTACGGTGTTTTTTTCTAAGGATTCGATGCTGTGATGGTGTTGCTTGGGCCATTGTAAATGAAAGGAATGCATGTGGAAAAATAAATAATATTATAACTTGAAGTAGGGGAAGATAAAGCGTGATTGAACTAAGAGTGTCTCCAAAGCTAATCGGACTATACAGTAGATGTGCAGCTGAGTGCATGTTTTCCCCTCTTTTCGCCATCTTGCTCACTCTTTGTAGCTCCTCTCCCCGCTCCGCTCACTTGTACTCTTTGCGTGCTTGGTCTCCTGGTTTCCTCTTTCTCTTGCATGATTGCATTTTCTTCACTTTGACGCCTTTTTCTCCCTCCTTCTCTGATTCTCTCTTGGTCGCTGTGTCACAGGAGGAGAGATGAAGAGGATTGGCCTCTGGTTTTAGCTGTAAGCTATCACTACCTGTGAGAGGGGGATCAGAGAGAGGGAAAGGCTGAGGTCTGAGACAGAAAGAGACAGTGATCATTATCTCATTCTTGTGTGCGTCTGTGTGTTGGTGGTTGTGATTATGCCAGGTTCTGTTCAGACAGCCAGGGGAAGTATGGGAGCAGCGCGTGCATTGTCCTGACCTGACGTTGCATCTGCAGACCTCTTACACACACCTGGAGGAGGCCCAGAATCAGCTTCGACAACGCGAGTCTGTAAGAATCCCCAGTGGCACATTGTGAGAGCGCTACACTAACGCAGTATATACACAAAAACACACTCAAAAACAGAATTTGACTACAAAAGCATTCTCATATATATTCACACACCTCGTAAGAGGTTGTAGTTAATTATGTCGTTTTTTTTTCTTTCATTTAGACCAAAGCATACACGCTTGTGAAAACATGCACGAGTGGACACATGTATGTTGTCATGCATTCACACAGTCACAAACAAATGTATGTAATGAGTAGCAAATGGACACATCCTTATTGTGAGAACTAATGGATAGATTATTTTACGACTGCTTCAGAACGGGTTTAAAACGGTCTCTCCCTTCTTGCACATCTGTCTCGCACAATCATTTCTCTGATGACAGTATGAAAGACCACTCAGTTTTCTTGCCACTCCAACCTTTTTCCAAGTCTTCTGTCTCAGTGCAATCAAATAACTATATAGCATTTTTTTAAAGGAACTTGCGTATCTAAGCTTTTTCCCCTTTTGTTTTTTAAGTGGATTTTGTTGTGTTTTTGTGTTAGCTTCATTTTCAGCATTATGGATTCATGCTCAATGAATTGATTGATGAATTGATGCTCACTGTTTGATACTTTACTAACCTAGGACTAACCTGAACTGCAACCTTCATGACATAACTTATTTTTGTCGTTGTTTCTCTTCTTCTTCGCCAACCAGAGGAACAGGAAGTATGCTCCACCATCTGAGCCACAGCAGAAACTCCTCTCCTCAGCCAGCCAACTCAAAGAGCTTCAGGTAGTGGATTACATACTTAACCCCAAGAGGAGGTAGGTTGAAAACAACAAACACAAACATGATATGCCAAAAGTAAGTCATCTTTGGAGACAACACACCACCTCACCCTCGTGCTGTGCAGAGATGCACAGCTGATGAATGCTTCCTTTTCTGCCTGGCCTCCACACACACACACACACACACACACACACGCGCGCACACACACAGAATCCATCAAGGTGGAAAACACTTAAAACCAAGTGTGTGACACACAATAATTAAGATGTGGTAAACCTGCATATGATCCATTTATTTCAGACTGCTGCCGAACATAGTCAACGTTGTTCCCCAAAGACTTTTACAATTATTCAAGACTATGTATGAATGTGTCTTTCTGCCTAACAGCGCTTTTGTGTTTCACTTCATTCAAAGAAGTCATTGCAGTATTCAACATGATTGCGTTGGGATTCTTTTATTTTTCTTTAAATATCGTGTCACGTTAATACGACAACCCAAACATCAGGAGTCAAAATTCTCTTGAGATTGAGAGGGCTAAAATGCATGATTGAAACGCAAAGAGCATCTAATGTCTGCTGTCGATTTGAAGTAATTTGATCATAATTTTATGGTGATCATACAGCTATTATAGAAAACCATGTTCACCCTTTCACATCAAACTCAATCAATGTCAGGGTAGAGCTGGGACATTGAGCCAGGTCAGACGACATTTCCTTAACCAGCAACCCTAAACCAGTGACTGATGGCAGTCACTGGTTTGGGGTTGCCTGGGTTTGGGTCTGAAAGGTATTATACTCCTCGAAAAGAAAAGAGGAAAAACAGATACGCTGTACAGCCTAACCCTTTCAACTTGAGTTGCACATATTTGTCAAAAATGACAGCAATTTAATAAATCGCCACTCTCCATCATACACATATGCACACCCACCCACACACATACACACAATTCCCAGTTATGCCCTCCACTGCCCCCTCTCCATGTATACGTAAATGAGGTGTGTGTGTGTGAGTAGAAGTATATAAGAGAGAGAATGTATGTGCGTGGGCCCTGCGGTCTGGTCCAGGCATTAGGTAATTGACTGTGTCTTTGCTCAAGGCCTTTCATGGATCACCGTCCTTTATTAGCTCACTTCCCAGCACACACACACACACACACACACACACACACACACACACACACACAC